AACATCCGTTTTTCCCCGGACATGTCCATATTTTGCGTCTTGTCCAGGGCGTCCGGGTTTTTTTTTTTTTTAAAGTGATGCAAATGTCCGGGTTTTCATTGCCGTTCTTTGGGGGCATTAAACTGAGAGTCTCTCTTAGCGTCTGTAACTCAGAAGGAGCGAGCAGACATTAAAAATACATTAATAAAGACACACCAGAAAGAGACGGTTATAAGTATACTTGCGCAAGGAGAGTTCTGAACAAACGTCTGTCAGCTCCCTGACCTACTCTGCTCAACAACTCTCCAAGTCACACTTTTATTGAGAATCATTTCACAGATAAACATACTTGATGACATCACAATACATTTCACATGTTATCTTATAACTAACAATCGTCAACTGAACCACCCTCCCATTTCACACTTGATTTCATATCCCAAAGATAGACAATGACCCAAGGCCTTTAGTTTTAACATAAGATGGGACAAACCCAGAATCGTTGGCGCCCATAGTAGATTAGCTTAATCGGTCAGTTGACAATGTCATTCATGTCACGTACATCCTGAACCAAAACAGACCCAAAGCAATGTTGATTACACCATGATTAATATTTAAATGTTTCACTCTTTAAATGATTAATACTTTAATGAAAGAATTACATATATAAATGAGTAACACTTTAATGATTAATACTTAAATCAAAGAAATACATTTATATCATAGAATTCTCTAACAATGTCGAAGCACAAATGCACATTTAACATCGTACAAGAAATTCTCCGTTTTCCATCCCGGTCGGTACAAGTGAAAGGCCATGTGCACAGGTTGTGAGGTGAGAGTACAGTGTTCCCTCGTTTATCATGGGGGTTACATTCTAAAAATACCCCGCGATAGGTGAAATCCGTGAAGTAGTCAACTTTATATTTTACAATTATTTATTTATATCTGTTTTAAGTCTGTAAAACCCCTCACCACACACTTTTCTCAGACAGGACAGTTACAACCCTTTTTACATCCTTCTCAAAACTTACTGCTGTCGTCCTTTTGTTATTATCCTTCTTTATGTAACAAACCCAAGATTCATTTATTCCGTAATGGAGCCCTACAGCGCAGAGTCCTGCACGGATCCAATTTTGGAGACCTGCAGTACAACACCGCACCCGCACAGTACAGCACCGCACCTGCCCGTTAACTCGTGATTATATCAAGCTTTTGCGCTGCCTACGCCACGGACTGAACCAAGACTAAACAAGGACTAACCCAGGACTAACCAGGACTGATTCCAGCACTGAAGAGGAGGACTAAAACAGGAGTAAACCAGGACTAAACCAGAAGTGAAACAGGACTCACTGTTGGGATGGGCTTGGAGGTGACCGCAGGAGAAAGGACCGATGAGAGCTCCTCAACTCACGGAGGTAAATGCGGCAATTGCGCGATCTCGCTTTGCAGACAATAGGTGCGATAGGTGAACCATGCAAGAGAATATAGCAACTGTAGCTCAATGTCGAGGCCCCACCTCCCACCCCTGGTAAGATGTCCGAGTTTTCACAAATGGAAATATGGTCACCCTAGAGTAGGATATAAACTTCAGACCACTTCTAAAGACTGCAGATGACCGCTGGATGGGACCTGAAACGACTTGATCACAGAACAGTCCAGATGATCACTGCTGAAACATTCCCTACATTGAATCCCTCCTGGACAAATGAAGGATTACGCTGTCTCAGTATAAAAGCAATAAATCTGATTGCAACCTGTTTGTTGTGGCTTGAGACGCGGCGGAGGGCGTCGTGACCCTGTTTAAATAATACAGAGATATCAGTCTGGATTTGCAAAGCTTTCACAACATAATCTATGAAGAGAAATGTCATTTAAAACAAGAAGGTCAGGCACCTCACATTTTATGCAGGTGCTTCAACAACATTAATATAAAGTGTTATTTTAAGTTTGCAAGGAAAAACAAGTAATTCTCCCTCCCCCAAAACTTGAACTCCTGAAGCACTCGATGCACTAAATACATCAAATAAGAAGGAAAAGAAATAAGACATAAAAATAACAAGACATCAGACTGTGAATTGGAAAGTAACATTACACCACTGTAACTGCTGTAACCACCCATGATAAAAATAACTGTGCTAAAATAGACAGACAGACGGCTCTTTTTGGAGAGCCAGTGCTCTGCTTACTATAAAGAGCCGGCTCTTGTGGCTCCCGAATCACTCCTCAGATTTTCTGCTTCTTAAATTAATTTATCACCAAAAATAATGCTAAACTGTGTGTAAAATGAATTACTAATGTAAAAAACATGCATGAAATCAAATGTTTATCCTTATAGGCGAGTTTCATTGTTGACAAAAGTGCACGTTGCATGCTGGGAATTATTTTGGTCGGCAGCAAGAAACACTAATTCAACATGACGGACGGAGCGAGAAAGCACGTAAAGGGTATTGATCCTGGTTATTTATCCACTCTAACGGCAGAGGACCGAAGACAATTTGACCAGAAACTGGTCATAAGCATCGATGGAGCCAAATCACCCTTTTCAACCCCTACAAAAGATGGACGAAACCAAATTTCTGGACTGAATCGCCAACTACCTGGACAAATATTCACTTCGGCGATATCCACAATGACTTGGTGGAAACTCCTGGGCCATTCACAGCAGAAAAGATGAAAACCTCCAAGAGTCTTGATGTGTTGTTGAACTTGTTTGAGTCCACGGTTTGCTAGGATCTTCTACGTTTGCTCTGCGGATGTTTGAAAGTCGTTTAATTCACCGTTAGCGGTTCTTTTCACTCAGAATACGAAAAAGACATTTTCCTTCTTCCGTGCTTCTATTTGTGCATCCGATAATGCAGCAGGAATTTACCATTATCAGGGATAAATACACGAGGTTATGCACTGTGTTCAGTGTTGGGGAGTAACGGATTACATGTACCGCCATTACGTAATCAGAGTACAAATTATGAGTAACTGTATTCCGTTACAGTTACTGTTTCAATGAGTGGTAATTGGATTACAGTTACTTTGCTGAAATAAGTGGATTACAAGGCGGTATTTTCCTGTTTTCACATTTTGTGCTACATCCCATTTATTTATTTATTTATTTCGGTAATTTCACTCATTGCTGGAAACCCAAACAGAACGCGCGCAATAAGAGCGATGTAAACGTCTTGTTAAAGTTGGCGGTGTCAGTCACACAGTGGAAGCAGCAGTGCATTGGTAAAAACGCATTTGTGTCTTGGAAATTCTTCTCCTGATGTGAGATATATATATAAAAAAAACTAATATAAAATCGCCTACAACTTAAATGTGAAACTGGAGCTACTGGCACTGGTGAAAACAACCTGCATAGACTCATGATGTCTGCACTACTGTCCTATAGTGACCTGCCACATGAGTGGACGTGCACACAAACACACACAAACACACACAAACACACACCTTCATCATCGTCATCAACCTGAGAACCCGCGGACCACGTCTCCTTCCGTAGTTACAACGCGGACACCTTCGTCTCGTGTGCCGCGTGTGGAACGTGTTTTCTCGCGTAAACCGCGCTTCCTCCTGTGCGCCTCTAAACCAGAACTAATCCAGGACTAAACCAGGACTAATCCAGGACTAAACCAGGACTAAAGACCTGGTCTAGACCTGGTCTAAACCAGGTCTAAAATCAGGAGTAAACCAGGTCTAAAAATCAGGACTAAACCAGGTCTAAACCAGGTCTAAACAACCTGACACCTAACAGTAGGTTGACATAATTTAAGGTGATCTCATATAATTTCTCTATCAGTAATATTTTTTAATATGGTGAAGGAAAGACTGATCTTGTTACTGTTTTTTAACAGACAAAACCTCTTATATTAAGATATCGTGGTCTTTGTTTCTCTACAGCAAACAGTTGCTTATTCATGGAGACTTGGGCTCAGACAATTTGAAGACAACAAACAAGAATTTTCAGGATGTGGTTGCTACATTCATGTCGTTTAAAAACATGACAATATCAAGTAATCCAAAGTAATCAGATTACGTTACTCACTTTAAGCGATTTAATGGATTACGTTACAAACTACATTTTGGGGTGTGTAATCTGTAATCTGTAGGGGATTACATTTTAAAAGTAACCTTCCCAACACTGACTGTGTTTGACCGATATCGTGTTTCTTGCCTCCGACCAAAATATTTCCCAGCATGCAACGTGGGCTTTTAATAACAATGACGTCAGCTGAAACTCGCCTATATGGCTTTGTTTTCCAAACACACTCAACCTTGAACAGAGTGCTACAAAATAAATTATAACATATTATGAAGACAAACTTTTAAATAAATTTATTTGTGGAGCCTGCTCGATATGATATTTTCTCCTTGCACAGTGTACACTCTGCCTTTGAACTGCTTATTGCATTGAATTTAAATTTTACAGATTTTTTTGCTGCTGTTGCTCATTTTCTCACTGCTCATCTCTCTCCCACTCGCTCACTCTCCATCGGTCTCTCGTCTTCCTCCCTCGTGTTGTGTGTGTGCGCTTACTGCTGTGTGTCTGTAACCTCTCCCCTCTTCTGCTCAGTGGACACACAGATGCCGCCACACATTTTAACCAATCACGTGTGTCTTTCACACAAAAAAAAGCGGAGTAAAAAAAAGAGAAAGACACTCTAAAAAATTTATTAGCTCCCAACGAGGAGCCGGCTCCTGTCATTCACTGCAAAGAGCCGGCTCTAAGAGAGAGACTGAAGAAGCAGACTGGATGAGCTGCAAAACGTTTTTGACCCAAATAAATGTTTGTCCAGTTGACAAATGGAATTTTCTCCTTTGACGTGGATTCTACCTGAATGACTGAGGAATTCTACACACATCTTGAGAATAACTTTTTTATTTGTGTTTGCTAATTTCTGCATTGTGTCTTTATGGGAACTGGTGAACATTCCGCCAATACACATACATGTAGAACACCCCCAGTGTGATATCACTGCAAAGTATTAATTGAATGGCAGTCTGTCTGCACTTTCCAAAAAATGAGAAATTAAAAGAAGACTACATATGGACGTGTATTATAGTTTTTTTATTCATGACAAGAAATCATATTTAATGCCACAATCTTGGAAACACCATTTAGCCAGAATTGGGTTCAATTATTTTCTTTTTAACCAAAAAAGTCTGATATTTTCTCTGACAAGCTGCGTCCGTTGCAGAGGTTGGACTGACAGCACGAGAATGTGAAATGAGAGAAAGTATACTGCAGTGAGAGGGCGTCAAAGGTACAGTCATTGTAGTTCACGCAGGAAGAGTACGTCATTTCTAAAACAAGAAAACACACATTAAAAGGCCTATCCTATATGACGCTATTTTCTAATCTATGTTCTAATGTAGTTTCTTCATCACAAACAGACCTGCAGTTGTGTTTTGTTTACACACATTAAACACACAAACCCTGCACATTTAGGCTGAGTTCTTCTCTCAGACAGAAATAATTCCACCTTGTGATGTCATGTGGTAATACAGGAAAAGCCCCACTGTTTTTAAACTCCACACATCTTCATTAGAATCATTTGGATCATTTCAGCCCTGGAATATCTAAAAATAAAAGGTAGCTGTTAACTTTAAAATACCACTACACGACGGTTGAGCTTTGGAGATGTAGACAGACTATGAACTGAATGAAATGAAACACAACTCCAGGTATGTTGTAATTATAACATGGCTTAACGCTCATGAGAGTCAATTTTGTGTAACCTTTTAGGGGTTTGTGTCAGTTGTAAATATTATACTTTTGTCTTATAGCCCCTGCACATGTCAGAGTTGTTACAGGTCAACCGTACGTACCTCCATGTTTGAGTTTGAGGCAGCTGTTCAGGCCATTGGTGCATTCTTCTTTCAGGTCACAGTTTTTGGTTGAACCGTTGCGACACGAGTAACACTGAAGAATCACCTGAAGAAGAATTATAATTCAGATCTGTGAACATTACGTAACAGTAAAGATGCACTGTGTAACATTCATGGACTGAGGTTTGCCACCTACTTGTCTCCACGGAGATGGTTTTGCTTTTCTCTGGATATTCCAGAGTCCATGTCATTAAACATATCTATCTTAATTCACTTAAAGGCGTTTTATTGCTTCACAAACATTACAGATAATTGCAATATTACTGTGAGTGGGGGTTGCCTCTCCACATATTTTACCAGTGACTTGGTAGTTCATTTTAATGCTGTACTGTGGAGGATTCCATCGATGGCTGGTTGGTAGTGCATTTGTCTAAAGGAGGGGGGTCCAAACTTTTCACTAAGAGCCGCATATAGGAACATATTTGGAACATATAGGCAGTGTTGGGAAGGTTACTTTTAAAATGTATTCCTCTACAGATTACAGATTACATACACCAAAATGTAGTTTGTAATGTAATCCATTAAATTACTTAAAGAGAGTAATGTAATCTGAATACTTTGGATTACTTGATTTGCTGTAGAGAAGTAAAGACCAGGGTATCATAACATAAGATGTTTTGTCTGCTAAAAGAAAATAAAAAGCCCAGACTTTACTTAACCAAATTCAAAAAAGTATTGATAGAAGAAGTTTAGTCTTGTTAAATCCTGTTTGAGACATAGTTTAGACCTGGTTTTAGTCCCTGGTTTAGTCCTAGTTTAGACCTGGTTTAGACCTGGTTTAGACCAGGTTTAGACCAGGTTTAGACCTGGTTTGGACCTGGTTTTAGACCTGGTTTAATGTCCGGCAATGAGTGAAAAAAAGAAAAGAACTAGAAAAGCACTCAGAGAGCGCAGACGTCCGCCAAGGACTACCCCCATTTTTTATATAAATTGCGATAAAATCAGTCTTCTGGATCAGATCCGGATCAGCCTTTGGAATATGAAAGAGGATCCCATTGTCCATCCCTGAGTCAAATTTCATGGGGTTTTGTCAATAATTAACCGAGATATTGAGAAACAAATTTTTTGGCCCCATTTACCACAATGTTAACTAAAATTTCAAAGTGATCCAGAATCCAGGATTTCTTCCGGATCACCCCCAAAATGAAATCAGTTCTTCCTTTTCACATTTCCAACAAATCCTGAAAATTTCATCAAAATCGGTCCATAACTTTTTGAGTTATGTTGCTAACAGACAAACAAACAAACAAACAAACAGACAAACAGACAAACAAACAGACAGACAAACGCCGGCAAAAACATAACCTTCTTGGCAGAGGTAAAAATGGGATATAGTCCAAAATGAGAAAACAGGAAAATACCTCTGTGTAATCCATTTATTTCAACCAAGAAACTGTAATCCAATTACCACTCACTGAAATAGTAACTGTAACTGAATACAGTTACTCATAATTTGTACTCTGATTACATAACTCTGGTACATGTAATCTGTCACTCCCCAACACTGCATATAGGTTTACAAAGCAAGCTTTAAAAACATTGGAACATTCATTTTTAGGGATAGGACAAGATCTTTTGGGAAAAAAAACTGCCACATGACAAAAATTATCTTGTGAGATGTTTTTCCCCTGAATTTACCTTTGGCTTGGATTTTTAAAAAAGAGTTGAGAGCTGGTGAGTTATACAGTTTGAGAGGGTGTATTTCCAAAAAGCATGCAGTAGTACAATGACCACTGAAGTATTACATAAAATACATCAAAATAGTGAAACCAGAATTGTGAAATATATTGCCCTTCTTATTTATTCTCGTCTCGTTTTTCGTGGGTCTGATCTCATGGTTTGTCTCATCTTGTCTCCGTATCACAATGCAGTGAAATGTTTTTGAGGTTACATTCAGAAGGATCCCTGAGTTCCAGTGAAAACAGTTTGGACACCCTTGGTCTGAAGGTGGTTTGATCCCAGCTCCGATGAATGTCTCAAATCAAACCAAAATGTATTTATTCCAGCTTCTTTCATTTTTAACAAATTGTAGATCACAAAATAGTAAACATGACAACAATATTCAATGAAGTTTTGGCATTTTTTCTTACCAAATTGAAACCCGGAGAAAGCGACGACGAGGCAAAACAACACCGCAGACTTCATGGTGAACATACGGACGTTACACTGTAAAGAAACAAAACAAATAACACCAGATTTTATATTTAAGTGTCTATAATTACTATTCCCTCTTACCTCAAAGGACATCCAGTGCAGTTTGTTGACAGCTTTTTCCACTGACCTGTTGTACGCCGGTCCAAAGTTTATGTTTGCTTAACGATCATTGCTGTCGTTACAGTGTGAAATTTGTTTCTTGCCTGGTACAGCTTTAGACTTGCTATAAAATCTGGATTGTTTATTATCAGTATTGGGAAGGTTGCTTTTAAAATGTATTCCCCTACAGATTACAGATTACATACCCCAGAATGTAGTTTGTAATGGAATCCATTAAATTATTTAAAGTGAGTAATGTAATCTGAATACTTTGGATTACTTGGTTTGCTGTAGAGAAGCAAAGACGAGGATATCGTAACATAAAGCAAGGCAAGTTTATTTGTATGGCACAATTTGTACACAAAGTAATTCAAAGTGCTTTACAGAATAAGAAATACATTAAAATCATAATAAAAAACATAAATAATCATAAAGATTAAAATTAAGATATTTTGTCTGCTAAAAGAAAATAAAAAGCCCAGACTTTACTTAACCGTATTAAAAATATTATTGATAGAAGAAGAGACACGTCCGCCCAGCATGGTTTAGCCCTGATTTAGTCCTGTTAAATCCTGGTTTAGCCCTGATTTAGACCTGGTTTTAGTCCTGGTTTAGATCTAGTTTTGATCTAGTTTAGACCCAGTTTTAGTCCTGGTTTAGATCTAGTTTAGACCTGGTTATAGTCCTGATTTAGATCTAGTTTAGACCTGGTTTTAATCCTGGTTTAGATCTAGTTTAGATCTAGTTTAGACCTGGTTATAGTCCTGGTTTAGATCTAGTTTAGACCTGGTTTTAGTCCTGGTTTAGATCTAGTTTTGATCTAGTTTAGACCTGGTTATAGTCCTGGTTTACATCTAGTTTAGACCTGGTTTTTAGTCCTGGTTTAGATCTAGTTTTGATCTAGTTTAGACCTGGTTATAGTCCTGGTTTAGATCTAGTTTAGACCTGGTTTTAGTCCTGGTTTAGATCTAGTTTTGATCTACTTTAGACCTGGTTATAGTCCTGGTTTAGATCTAGTTTAGACCTGGTTTTAGTCCTGGTTTAGATCTAGTTTTGATCTAGTTTAGACCTGGTTATAGTCCTGGTTTAGATCTAGTTTAGACCTGGTTTTAGTCCTGGTTTAGATCTAGTTTTGATCTAGTTTAGACCTGGTTATAGTCCTGGTTTAGATCTAGTTTAGACCTGGTTTTAGTCCTGGTTTAGATCTAGTTTTGATCTAGTTTAGACCTGGTTATAGTCCTGGTTTAGATCTAGTTTAGACCTGGTTTTTAGTCCTGGTTTAGATCTAGTTTTGATCTAGTTTAGACCTGGTTATAGTCCTGGTTTAGATCTAGTTTAGACCTGGTTTTAGTCCTGGTTTAGATCTAGTTTTGATCTAGTTTTGACCTGGTTATAGTCCTGGTTTAGATCTAGTTTAGACCTGGTTTTAGTCCTGGTTTAGATCTAGTTTAGATCTAGTTTAGACCTGGTTATAGTCCTGGTTTAGATCTAGTTTAGACCTGGTTTTTGTCCTGGTTTAGATCTAGTTTTGATCTAGTTTAGACCTGGTTATAGTCCTGGTTTAGATCTAGTTTAGACCTGGTTTTAGTCCTGGTTTAGATCTAGTTTTGATCTAGTTTAGACCTGGTTATAGTCCTGGTTTAGATCTAGTTTAGACCTGGTTTTTAGTCCTGGTTTAGATCTAGTTTTGATCTAGTTTAGACCTGGTTATAGTCCTGGTTTAGATCTAGTTTAGACCTGGTTTTAGTCCTGGTTTAGATCTAGTTTTGATCTAGTTTAGACCTGGTTATAGTCCTGGTTTAGATCTAGTTTAGACCTGGTTTTAGTCCTGGTTTAGATCTAGTTTAGACCTGGTTTTTAGTCCTGGTTTAGATCTAGTTTTGATCTAGTTTAGACCTGGTTATAGTCGTGGTTTAGATCTAGTTTAGACCTGGTTTTAGTCCTGGTTTAGATCTAGTTTTGATCTAGTTTAGATCTGGTTATAGGCCTGGTTTAGATCTAGTTTAGACCTGGTTTTAGTCCTGTTTTAGATCTAGTTTAGATTCTGGGAATGAGTGGAATTATAAAACAGGAAAATACCGCCGTGTAATCCATTTATTTCAACAAAGTAACTGTAATCCAATTACCACTCACTGAAACAGTAACTGTAACCGAATACAGTTACTCATAATTTGTACTCTGATTACGTAACTCCGGTAATGTAATCTGTTACTCCCCAACACTGTTTATTATGTCATGCTGGAAGTGTTCTACATGTATGTTTGTGGTGGAATGTTACCATGGTGACGCAATGCACACATTAGCAAACACTGCCAAAAAAACGTTTTAAGATTGTCTGAAAAAGCACACAGTGGATTTAAACAACACAGTCTGGTCAAATTGTGTTAAAATAAAATGCAGATTAAAGTCTAACAAAGCCTCAAACAGAGCAGTGCCCTCAGTTAGCGTCACACTCCCAGAGAAAGTGGATGATATCAGCTGCAAAGTACCAATTGTTGACTAGACCCTAGAACAGGGGTCTCCAACCTTTTTCCTATGGTGAGCAGTAGGGGGACCAGATTTTCATTTCAAAACTTGGACTCACCCAGGTTGGGATGGCTGGTATAAATAAAAGTGTGACAATAGTGTGTAACATAATCTGAGGGGCTTTTGGCTAAACAAATGATAATTGATGCTACTCTATACTGTGGGCAGGGATCTGATTAGTCAAAAATTGTGATACTCCTGTTCTAGTCGTGGTTTAGACTTGATGTAGTCCTGGTTTAGAGTTAGTTTAGTCCTGGTTTAGATCAAATTGGTCAAAAATAGGGACAAGAGGGACATTTCTTGTATAAAACTTGGACAAATGAGTGGTTTTGGACAAATCTGCTGGGACAGGAGACACAGGGCTCAAAACTGGGACTGTCCCGGGTAAATAGGAATGTCCGGTCGCCATATTTAGCGGTCACAAGAAACTGAGCATAGGAAAGCCTTAGATGGGCAACAGTTTGATAGACTTAGAAACCGTAGACAGTTAAAACTGTTTAAGTCTGCATTCAGACTGCAGCCTGAAGTGACCCAAATTTGATTTTTTGGCTTCTATGTGACCTGTATCTGACCTTTTAATGACAGTTAGAACGACACAGATCCGATTTTTTCAAATGCGACCCAGGACACTTGGATATGTGCTCCTAAAACCGATCTGATCTTTTAACATGCGATTTCAGTCTGAACGGCCAAAGCGCATCCATCCACCTACACGTTATCAACAAGCCACAAACGTCACTGTTCTGCGCTGAAGTAGGCGAAAATTGTTAATGAACTCTGTGTCACTGGAGCGAAGCACATCACCACTCACCACTCTTGGCTATGTCTGCGCATCCACACGTTCCTTTCAACGGACATTGCTGCCGCTGCCCCACAAAACTCCACGGCCAAAAACCTCGTCCTTCTCCTTCTCAATCTCCTCCTTAAAACAAGTAAGTTGTTCATGTTGTGGCTCTGGTACGAGCGGAACTTTAAAATCTCCAGGTGCTCAGTGCTCACGTGCATGTTTGGACAACTTCCGTAAACACAGAGCACGCTCGCTGCGGTTGACGTCATTGTGTCTCCAGTGCACATGCGGGACACTTTTGGGCTGTTTAACGTTCACACAGGGGATCACATACAAGTCACATTTAATTGGAAATGTGAACGACCTCGCAAAAACATCGGATTTCACAAAAAAATCGGAATTGAGCGTTAAGCCCTGCAGTCTGAACGTAGACAAATTAGTTTAGTCAGAAATCCTTTGGTGAGCTATTTGGAAGGGGATGGAGAGCTACTGGAAGCTTCTGAGCTCCAGGTTGGAGACCCCTGCCCTAGAACAAAGATCTGCATTTTAACAATAAATTTGCTTACTGATAATTTGCTTGTGGGTGTATGCTAATACCCACAAGGAATGCTTAAAAGTGGTTTTAAGATTGTTTCTGTGTTTTTGTTTTTTAACAAATTGCAGCATATTTCTGCCACCCTCCCACGTGACAACGAACTAAAGCTGCACCTGCTGAACTGCAGCTACACCTATGACATGTTTGACTTAGCAGAAAGCACTTCGCACTTGCCCCCCTCCCCTGCTCCACCGCCTCCGCCCCACCCCCACCCCACATCGGCTGACAATTTCCACACAAATGCGACAGCATAAGCTCATTGTTCTACACTGCAGTGAACACAATATAATAAGTTTATCTACTAGTGTTTTTTAATACTTTACCAATCAGTAATGTTCAGCTGATGTGGACGCGGTGCTTGAGCTTCGTGCACCTCAAAGTCCTCGTCCGATTCCGGTTCCAACACATGCTGCTGAACGTGCTGTATCTCCATGATGAATAAAAGTTTATTCCTACCACTATCAGGGTGCACGCCTGTCTCCCCCTCCCTCCCTGAGACGGGCAGAGGAAGGGCGGCTCACTCAGAGTCTACGTCACATTTGGAGGGCGGAGCCTGTGCTTTCTCAGGACGGGCGAGGGGAGGAGCAATAGTCGGCCTTTCTTAGTTCCTGGTCTGTGACTGTCTCCAAGAAATGAGTAAGATTTCAGAACTATTGTGTAATGGATGTTCCAAAACCCAAATTGTGCTTGTTTATGTGCAGAAGATACAATGTGAAAAGAGTGATTTTGCATCAGATGGGCCCTTTAATTATGTACTCGTTACCAAAAAAACTGGGATGTCCTAGCTTTTTATTTTGAAAATTTCGTCACTCTAACCAAGTATAGAATAGTGTGGACATACAGGACCGTGAACACTTGGACTGATCACAAGATCCTGTAAATGTGGTGTTTCAATCCATTCAGTATTTTTTATGTTTTCAGACAATCTAAAAGTTTTTTTTTTTGACAGTGTTTAATGTGTATCTCCATGGTAACTGCTGAACATCTCCGTACAAACACATGTAGAAAATCCCCAGCATGAAGCCGCCGTAAAATATCAATAGAGTGCATAGACACAGTACAAACAGTTTTCAGCGAAGTGTCTTAATGGCTGTATTTGGGATTCGGTGAAACTAGGGCAGCAGCAGATCTGAGGTGTCGGGGTTGTGGCGTTGCATG